TTCATGTGGACAGACTCAGGAATAGTGAATAGTTCACTCAAAATCTATTGTCTCCCACTAGACTGTGGGCCAGGGTTTTTTCTCTCTGATGGCACAGGCATATTCCAAGATGACAATGCCAGGATCCATCCGGGATTGAATTGTGAAAAAGTGGTTTAGTGAGCACAAGACATCGCTATCAAACATGGATCGGCCACCACAAAAGCCAGATCTTAATCCCATTAGAAATATTTGGAATGTGTGTGAGAAGGCTTGATGCCGTGGTCAGACTCTACTGTACTGTACCATCATAAACAAAAGATCTTAATAAAAAATGAATGTCACACTGGTGAAAATAGATCTTGTAACATTGCAGAAGCTTATGGAAACAAGGTCAAAGTGAATGTGTGTTTTGAAAGATAAAGGGGTTCCAAGAAATATTTTTGTGACTTTTTGTAGCAAATTCTCTTTTTACCAGGCACTGTATATTTAAAACTATAAAAAATAAACCACATGGTATTATATAAAATTGATGACAATCTAATAAAAATGATTGAGGATATTGTGTTTCCCATCTGTCATATTGTAAATATATGATTTTCCAACTGTGTATATATTCATGAGTGTGAAAGTGAGCCTTAAATTTTTAGAGACAGTTATTCATTTAGCCTATTTCCTGTACCAGCTAGGGGAAGTGCCCACCCTCTGGAAGACATCCTGCATCGTTCCAGTGCCCAAGAAGAACAGGCCCAGCGGGCTGAATGACTTCCGGCCCGTGGCACTCACTTCACACCTGACGAAGACGTTGGAGCAGCTCTTCCTTGGCCTCCTCAGGCCTCAGGTGCAACATGCCCAAGACCGCCTGCAATTCGCCTACCAGCCAGATGTCGGTGTGGAGGATGCCATTCTCTACCTGTTGCACCGGGCCCACTCCCACCTGGATAAGGGCAGTGGCACAGTGAGGATCCTTTTCTTGGACTTCTCCAGTGCCTTTAATACAATCCAGCCCCTTCTGCTCCAGGACAAACTATACAGCATGGGAGTGGACCCGCACCTTGTCACCTGGATCCACAGTTACCTCACCAACAGGCCGCAGTATGTCAGGCTGAAGGACATCATGTCTGACACTGTGGTCAGCAGCACAGGAGCCTCTCAGGGCACAGTGCTGGCCTCTCTTCTCTTCACCCTGTACTCCTCTGACTTTCACTACAACACAGAGCTGTGTCACATACAAAAGTATGCTGATGACACAGCCATGGTCGGATGCATCAGGGATGACAAAGAGGAGGAGTATCGACATCTGGTGGGGGACTTTGCCCTTTGGTGCCACACAAACCACCTGGAGCTCAACACCTCTAAGACAAAGGAGCTGGTTATAGACTTTAGGAGGTCCAGACAAAAGCCAAGACCAGTCGTACTAGAAGGAACTGAGGTGGAGGCCGTGGACTCCTACAAGTACCTTGGGGTGTGGTTGGACAGCAAACTGGACTGGTCAAAACACACCAACAACCTGTACGGGAAAGTACAAAGTAGGATGTACTTCCTTAGGAGACTTCGGTTCTTTAACATCTGCAGCAAACTACTATATATTTTCTACCAGTCTGTGATTGCCAGTGTCCTCTTCTACACCGTGGTGTGCTGGGGAGGCAGCACATCCAAAAAGGACACGTCCAGACTGGACAAACTGATCAGGCGGGCTGGCTCTGTGGTCGGCATGAAGCTAGACTCTCTGGTGACGGTGGCAGAGGAGAGGACACTGAATAAACTGATGGACATCATGGACAACAGCAGCCACCCTCTGCACACCGTCATCAGCAGCCAGAGGAGCCTGTTCAGTGACAGACTGCTGCTTCCCAAGTGCCGGACCAATAGACTTAAGAACTCTTTTCTCCCCCACGCCATCAGACTGTACAACGCCTCACTGGGGGCAAGGAGGTGACACAGGACAGGGGGAAGAGGGAAAGAGTAGCAACACTTGTATTTTTTATTTTTTCTGTAAAATTTGAACTCCATATTTATTTGTATTTGTATTTTACTTAATTTTAACTTAATTTAACTTAATACTTTTTTGCCCTGTAAGCTGCTGGTAACCTTAATTTCCGGAGGGAGTCTTCCCAAGGGATCAATAAAGTACTGTCTAAGTCTATTTCAGGTAAATATGTTGTAGCTAAGCTGACAGTAAGCCCAGGTATAGTAATTACTTAAAATTTAAATAATTTTTTGTTTGTGATTTTTTTTGACCAATGCTTTATATTCAATATAAAAAAAGCTGTCTGTGGTTTACGGTGAAGTTACAAAAATATTTGTAAGCTTTTAATAAAGCTTATAGTTAAAGTAGTTTAGGTTATCCTGAGCTATCTCTATAGTTATGCTGCTATGATTAGACTGCTTCATTCTAACTCTTTTCTCCCATTTTTCAGTAACTATTAGTGAAACCTCTAACGTTATCCTCTATGTTAGAGTGATAATTATAAAATGACTGTGTGGGAATATGAAACATTAAAAGAATTAAGATGCTACATTTCTTTCCTGTGATTCAATCAGGATGGTCATAAACTTTTATGACCTGCATCCAGTAGGTCATGAGGCAGAGTCACACGGTTGTGTGACTTCCATCCAGCCAGATGGTCATTTCACACTGTCTTATAACCTGCACCCTGCCAGATAATCATTACTGGGTTTTCTGTTTAAGACCCGCTCTATTATGTTTTAAACTGTTAATAAAAGGCTTTGCTGTGAAGGGATCTGTGAGAAAAGGTGCTGGTTTGAGCCTGCAGCTTCTCTCCCCTGTGCAGAGGTTGACGTAACAAATCCCTGTCTGTGTTTGATCATTTCGTCCTCTTAATCTTTTAAACTCACATTTCTCTGGATTAAAACCCAACACTCTATCTGCTTTTTCTCTTCATAGTAGCTTCATCCGGTCTTTTTCTGTTTGGCTGTGACACCATCCTGGCTGTGTTGCTGCCATCAACACCTTTGTTTATAGATGTCGGAGCTTGGCCTGTTTTTCAGTGTAGTCCTGTTTCTTTTACTACGACAAACTGTTAAACCTGAGAAGCTGGGTAACAGTTAACTTTTGTGTCTTTACTTGTTTCTCTATGTCTGCTTTGGTTTCCTTGAATAGCAGTTGGCCTCAATAGATGACTCTGCTGAAGGTTTCTTCCTGTTTAAAGGGAGTTTTCCTCTCCAATGTCACTGTAAGCATGCTTGGTATGAGGGGTTGCTATTGAGTCAACGAGTCAATGCAATTTGCTGTTTTTTCTTTAAACAGAAAACTTTCAACCATCTGACTGTATGTACTGATTGAACTGTCTCTGTAATGTGGCATGAAATGATAAGTGTTGTGAATTAGTACTATATATACTCTTATAAGACTCTCATAAGTACATGGGTATTCACCTGAACAATAAACTGGACTGGACTAACAGGAGTGAGGCTCTCTACAAGAAGGGTCAGAGCTAACTATTCATGCTGAGGAGACCGAGGTCTGCAGGGGGGCTCCTGAAGACCTTCTTTGACTGTGCTGTGGCATCAGCCATCTTCTATGGAGCTGTCTGTTTGAGCGGTGTATCTGTAGAAGAGAAAGTGCCTAGGTAAGCTCCTTAAGGAGACCAGCTCTGTGATTGGAGGTCCTCTGGACTCAGTGCAGGAGGTGGGAAACAAATGGATCCTATCTAAATTAACATCTCTGTTGGATATTAAATAATGTCTCCCATCCCATGCATGAAGCTGTTCCAGAACTGAGGAGCTCCTTCAGTAACAGATTGCTGCACCCAAAAAATGCACCCGGGAGCATTATCACAGATCCTTCCTACCACCAGCTGTAAGACTGAATAACGATCACTGTTCCCAACAACCACAATGAGTTGTTACATACATGCTGTTTTTTTTCACAGTTTCTGTCTTAGTCACTTAAATAAC